GCGCCCTCGCGTGACGTCACGGCGGGTTGAGGGGGGGAGTGACGTCACGCGCGACAGCACCTCACCTCTTTATCAGTGAAAAGACTTTATTGAGGAGGAGGGGGAAAGAAAAAAAAGGAGTGAAGTGGGGGGGGCGCCGGGGACCGGCCCCGGGCGGGCGTGACGTCGTAGGGCGGGGTGTGACGCAATAGCACAGCGCGGTCCCTCCATCCAGGAGCATCGGTGGGAGCGGGACCCGCCCCCCCGTCCTACCTGCACCGGCCACCCCGGAGCGAGCGGCGGGTGAGGCGGGTGAGCAGCACCTTCACCCGGCCCCAGTGCGAGCGCCCGTCCTGCCGGCACAGGGGGGAGTCAGCGGGGGGGGACCCGCGGGACCCCCGCCCGCCGCGCCCCGACCCCCCCCGGCCGTACCTTGTCCGGTGCCGGGGCACCCGCCCCGCTCTCGGAGGGGTCCAGCAGGCTGGGGGAGCTGGCAGAGTGCCCCCACATCCTCCGGCACGGCTCGGGGGCTGCACGGGGGGAGAGGGGGGCACAGAGCTGTCGGAGTCTGGGGTCCTGCCGTCCCACATCCCACTCGGCTCACTCGATGCCTGATCCCGCCACTCCTTCATCCCGCCCCTCTACCTGTTGCCTGATCCCCCCACTCCCGCATCCCACCCCTCTCACCTGGTGCCTCATCCCGCCATTCCCGCAATCCCACCCCTCTCACCTGGTGCCTGATCCCACCATTCCCGCAATCCCACCCCTCTCACCTGGTGCCTGGCTGTCGGAGCAGGAGCGCGGCCGGAACCCCTCACCCCTCCACGCCGCCGAATCCTGCCTCGGGGGCTCCCGGGTGGGCTGTGGGCGAGGAGAGGAGAGGCAGGGTGTGAGCTGGGACCCCCAAACCCCCCCCCATCCACGCATCCCACCTCCTCCCGGCCCTCACCAGAGTGCCAGGGCGGGCGCGCCGGGCATCGGCCGCCTGCTGCCGGAGGATCCTGTTGTCCTGCTGCAGCCGCGCAAGGCGCTCCAGCATCTGGCAGACGTGCTCCAGGTAGCGCAGCCCCTGCCCCTCGGGCACAGCCCGGGGGTCTCGGGGGCTGCCGGGCGGCCGAGCCCTTCCAGCCGCGGGGGCCGCCGCCCCCTCGGGCTCCTCGGGCTCCCGGGGGTCCCGCGGGGGCTCCGCCAGGTCGGCGGTGCTGGCGCTGCGCCGGCTGAGCTGTCGCGGGCATCGCTGCCTCCTGCTCCGCTGCGCTGCCTGCAGCATCTTCCTGCCGGCAGAGCGGCTCCGGGGGGCGCAGGGGGGCTCCGGGCCCGGCTCCTCCCCGGGGGAATTCTCCACCGCGAAGCCGTCGAGGGAGAAGCTGCTCTCGGAGCCCAGCGGGGTGCAGGGCGAGTGCTCGTTGCTGGCCATCTCCACCCCGGAGTCCTCCGACTCGGACTTGAGGAGTCTCCCGCCGGCCGGGGGGCTGCTGGGGGGCCGCGGGGGGGGTCCCCGGGTGCTCATGCCCCGCGGGGGCTGCCGCGGGCTCTCCTGCAGCCGGCGGTAGACGCTGGCGGAGGTGCGCACGATGCAGCTCTCGGCCGTCTCCCAGGGACCATCTGCGGGGCGAGGGAGGACGGGGGGGGGTCTCAGCTGGGGGGTCCCTGGATGCAGAACAGGGTGTGCACCCCTCACACACGAGCCCACCACCCTCCACAGCAGCTCCAGCCGTGCCCAGGCCACTCTCCCTGTTGCCACGGGGGGGTTACAGCCCCACCCCTGCCCAGAGACCCCTCTCCAGAGGGTCCCCACAGCTGGAGATGTTCCTACGACCGCAGTGCGTTGTCGCTGCTTCCCAAAAACACGGCCTTGTCCTCTGCCATCCTCCTCCTCCTCCTAAGCCACTCTGCTGAGCTGCTGGGGGGTTGCACACACGACCCCCCCCACCCCGACCTGGCTGCTCTCCCTGTGTCCCACTCTGTCCCGGTGCCAACAATCCAGGACACAATGTGGGATCCCGGACACCTGATGGCTCCAGGGACCACCAGCACCTCACACTTGTCCCCACAGGAGAGGAGGGGGACATCACCAGCCAGGATGTGCCCCCCTCCCACCACCATCCCGCAGCTCCAGGTGGGATCACGGCACATCAATGGGGGGGGGGGTCTCAGCATCCCTTTCCCCCCTCCCTTCCCAGCCAGGCCACAGCAAAGGCCTCAGGGAGGTGGGAGCGAAGCTTTGGCACCTCCTGGGAGTCGCCCACCCCCTCAGGAAGCCCCACTGGGATCTGACACCCCTCCAGACACACTCACAGCAGCTGAACCTCCTCTTCCAGACGGCGCGGGAGCCCCCCCACATCGCCGGGAGCCGGAGCCGAGAGCCGGGCGTGCGTCCCGGAGCTCCCTTTTATAGCCACCCCAGCCGGAGACGGGCCCTGTATCCAGAGGCACCTCATTACGGGACTGGTTCCCAACTGGTTCCTCGCTGGGTTTGGGATCGGCGATACTGGCTGGGCCGGTGGTTAAGGGCTCCCTTCCCACCCCAACCGCGGTGTTTGGGCGCTGGCAGGCAGCCAGGAGCCGGGGGAATCCCACCAAATTCCAGGGAACTCACTCAGGAACTCTGGCTTGGGTTGAGTTCACCTGTCAGGGGTCTCAGTGCCCCCGAATTCCCGCAGCCACACCACTCACCGTGCACCCCTTGGGGGCTGGAGAGGCCGGGGCTGGTGCTGGGACAATCCATCCGTTCAGCGGGATTGAATCCCAGTAATCCCGTGGGGCAGCCCATCCACCCCAGCAGGATTGAATCCCAGGAATCCCGGGGGGCAGCCCCTCCACCCCGGCTCGGTGGCTGCCAACATCCCGGCTCCCACACGTCACATTCCCGCGGGCTGCCGGACCCCACACGCCGAGGGGCTGCTCCCCCCCACCACGGGGGTGGCACCAGAGCTCCACCGGGGTGAGGGGCACAGGTAGGGATGTGGGGGGATCCCCATCCCCTCCTCGTGGGTTGGCAGATCCAGCTCAGCTGGATCCCAGATCCCCCCGGTACTTTCTGGCTGTTGCTGTTGGAGCAGGGGGGTCCCAGCACAGGCAGAGTCGGGGGGGGGGGGGCACATAGAGATGGGCCCTGGGTTTTGGGGACCCCCACACGGCTCAGTGGGCTCCGGGTGCAGGAACAGCCCCGTCAGCCTAAACAGGGGAAGGGAGAAACCTGAATTCCCAGCACAGCCAGTACCCTTGGCCCCTCCCAGCAGGGAGGGGGATGAAAACGAGGGGTCCAGGGACCCCCTTCAGCACAGAGAGCACGAACTGGGGGGTGCCAGGGACCCCCAGGTTCCCTCTGCAGCACCAACAGCACTGACAGGGGGGTGCCAGGGACCCCAGGTTCCCTCTCCAGCAAAGATATCCCAAACCAGGGATCCCTGAGGATCCCTTCCAGCAGGAACTTCACAGGCTGGAGACACCGGGGGCCCCCCCAGCTGCCGGAGGAGGGTCCCCCCTGGCCCCGGGGGCCACCGACTCACCGCCGTCATGGAGCGGCTCCACGCTGAAGGCTCCGCGCCGGCGCAGCATCCCCGGGAACAGGGAGCGACTGGGAATGGGGTACGAGGGAGGGAACCGAGATCCTGGAGCCGGACAGGGAGTGCCGGGAACAGGGCAGAGAAAAACCGGGAATGGGGAAGCGGGTGCGGGAGCCGGGCAGAGGAGAAACAGGAACCGAGAGCCGGGCAGGGAGCAGTGGGCTCTTCCTCCGCCGCTTTATGGGGCAGGGCTGGGGGGCGGCACAGCCCCGGGGCGGGGCGGGGGTGGGGGGGCCGCCCCCTGCCCGGGCAGCCCCTTTGCCCCCAGCCCCATCTGTGCTACCCCAGCAGGGCTCAAAGCGTTTATTCCTCTTTTTTTTTTATCCCACGTGCCGAAGGCGGGAGAGGGGCAGGACCATCATCACCATCATCCTCCCTCCCTGGGGGTCCTAGAGAGTCATGGAATGGTTTGGGTGCAAAGCGACATTAAAGACCACCCAGTCCCACCCCCTGCCACGGGCAGGGACACCTTCCACCGGCCCAGGTTGCTCCAACCCGGCCTTGGACACTCCCAGGGATGGGGAAGCCACAGCAGCTCTGGGATGTTTAATCGGGAATTCCATGGTGAGAGCTCCATGGACGGGCCAGGGGGCACACGGGAGGCTGTGGTGCACCCCAAACAGACCCCTGTGAGACCCCAGGCAAGAGGGGAGGGGGTTCCTGGCTTTCCCCAGGACAGGGGAAGGAGCTGGTTCCCTCCCAGGCGAATCCCAGATAACAGCAAAGCCCATCTCGGTGCAAACAGGCCCGGAGGGTGGGGAGCAGAGATAAGAGCCCACCTGGGCCCCTGCAGGACAAAGGGCTCGGCCAACAGCCCCCAGTAAACCCTGACACCTCCCAGGGACACCGGGAGCAGGGAGGGAACATCCAGCCCCGCGGGGAGCCCTGACCTTCCCGGGAGCACCACAAGGCTGGCTGGGATGTCACTGGAGAGCCCGGGATGAGCCTTGCCCAGCCCTGGACCCCCACCCTCGGTGCAGGCAGGAGGGCTGGGGGGTCTCGGGTCCCTGCCTGCACCCTGGGATTTGGGGGGGACCCACCTTGCCTCCACCCTGGGGCCCCAGCACAGAGCAGACACGGGAATGGAGCAAATATATATTATATTTATATATAATCTGGTTTAATACCTTGTTGCAGTCAGTGTACAAGCGGTGCCAGCCCTTCTCTGGCACCCAAGTGCTCAAGCATCCCTGTGACCCCCCCTCCCCAAAGTCCCCCCTCCCCAATGTCACCCCCGTGTCCCCCACTGCTGCAGCCCAAGCTGAGAACTAACCCAGCTCATCACACAGACCCTCATGTGGGTGAAGGTGGGTGGCTGCAGTGCATCCCTCCCCAAAAATCCCGGCCATCCCGAGCCTGGTGGTGCCCTCAGCCCCCCTACAACACCCCCTACCCCAGTGGGGCTGTGGGGGCGAGGGGCTGACCCCGGGACACGGGGGGGGGGGATCCTGTGGCTCAGGAGTGGGGGGACACGGGCGGGGGGGACACGGGCGCCCCCGGGGGGCCCTGGTAGCGCAGGCGGGCGTGTTTCTCGCAGAACAGCTCGTCGCCCACCCAGAAGTGGCCCCTCATCTTGAGGTTGAGGCCGCAGTCGGCGCAGCTGTAGCAGGACGGGTGCCGGTACCGCCCGTCCTGGATCCGCACCGCCTGCGTGCTGGGGGGACCCCGGGAGGGGGGGTCAGAGGGGTCCGTGTCCCCCCGGGTCCCCTCCCACCCCACCGCGGCCCCGGAGCGGTGGCAGGGCGGGGCTCTGCCCAGGGATTCCGTCCCCGCTCGCATCCCAGGGTCAGCCCTGTTTGTTCCCTGCTTGGAGCAGTGACAGGGATGGGTCCCGCCCTAGGACCTCCCAGAGCCGGGATGCCCCCAGCCCCACTCACAGCCCAGGATCAGCCCTATTTTATCCCCGACAGGAGTAATGACAGGGACAGATCCTACCCCGGGACCACCCAAGCCCCCAGCCCCACTGACGGCCGAGGATCAGCCCCATTTTATCCCTGACAGGAGCAATGACAGATCCTGCCCCAGGACCTCCCCCAACCTCACTCAGAGCCCAGGATCAGCCCCGCTTTGGCCCTGTGGGAGCGACGGCTGGGACAGATCCTGCCCCGGGGGCCGCCCAGCCCCAAGACCAGCCCGTTTTTGGCTTTGCCAGGAGGGGCGGTAGGCACAGACCCCGCCCCGGGACCCCCCCCCAGCCCGTTTTTGGCTTTGCCAGGAGGGACGGCAGGCACGGACCCCGCCCCGGGACCCCCCCAGCCCGTTTTTGGCTTTGCCAGGAGGGACGGCAGGCACGGACCCTGCCCCGGGACCCCCCCCAGCCCCACTCACGCGATGCTGCTCCCGCACTTCTCGCAGACGTGCAGCTTCTGGACCCCGGCCACGGGTTTGCGGGCGCTGGACGAGAGCCGGCTGGGGAAGGGGGCTGTGGGACCACCTGCGAGGGGGGAAAACGGGGCCATCAGGGTCCTGCCGCCCCCCTGCCGGACCCCCCGCCTCCCCCCGCGCCCCCGTCACCTCCTCCCTCGTCCTCCAGCGCCTCCTGGAGCAGGCGGAAGGTGCTGGATTGCCGCGGGGCCGCCCGCAGCTCCCGGTTCTCCTGCAGCATCTTGTAGACCTCCGAGTCCTCCTCCAAGCGCCTCATGGCCGGCTCCGAGCCCTGGCTGTGGGACGGCACCCCGAGGGGGAGATGTCTTGGGGGAGGGGGGTTTGACAGCACCCAAATTCCGGGATCCACCCTCTGCACCCCCCACCACCACCCGCCTGCCACCTGATCCCTCCCCCCCGGGAGCTGCCCCGGCCTGCCCGGCCCTGCCGCGGCCCCACCTGCCTCGCAGGTGAGTTAACCCTTTCCACGGGCTCCCTCGGCAGCCGTGGGTGCCAAATCACCACGCCAGGGTGGGGTTGGGGGCTTCCCTGTGTCCTGTCCCCCTCCTTCCCAGCCCCGCTCCGTACCTGTTGCAGGTGTTGGGAGAGAGGGAAGGGCGACGCTCCCTGTGCGTCTCCCAGGGGTTTTGGGGGGCTCCAAACCCCGGTGAGGGTGGGCAGGGGGGTGGAGGCAGGATGGATCCCTGGCAGCTGTTCTGGCGGGTCAGGATTCCTCGCTCCTGGCAGGGGGAGAGAGGTGATGGGAAGGCACAAGGGGTCAGGCTGGGGTGGCCCCCAAAACAGCCTGAGCACCCTGGCAGGGTGCCCACAGACCCTCCCTCTCCCCCTGGGGACCCTGGGGGTACTTGGACCAGGCCCAGAGGGGCTTTTCTCAAGCCCTTGTCTCTGGAGGACTCAGGGATGCTCCGTGGGGCAGCTGCTTCTCCTCCCCGGGCCTGGCTGGGGTCAGCAGGACCCCCAGGGGGGCCAGGGCAGCACCCCCACCCCACAACCCCTGCGCCTGCGCCTGTCCCCTCCCCACCATCTGCTCCTGCTTAGCGGGCCCGGCGAGGCAGGAAAGAGGAACCCTGGATAAGTGGAAGCTGATGTTCCCGGGAGCGGCCGCCACGCAGACGGGAACCCCAGGGGGACCCCAGGATGGGGACAGGGAGATCTCTCCCCGCCTGGATCCATGGAGAGGGAGAGGGGAGCAGCCCCGGGGTTCTGTGGGGTCACGAGGAGATGAGGGACGAGCTAAAATTAGGCACGGGAGGAGCCGGGCGCCTTGGCCTCGTCCCCACCGGGATCCAGCGCCAACCCACCCTGGGATGGGGGGAAGATCGGGATCCACGGGCAGCCCTTCCCCCCGGCTCCCCTTTGAGCATCTTCACACCCATGGTGGGGGGCTCTGGGCACGAAGGGACACTCAGGGACAGGGAGGGACCCTCCGGGGCAGGGAGGGACCCTCCGGGGCCAAAGCAAACACGGAGCTGGGGAGGAAGGAGGGAGCGGGCGGCCGGAGGAGCCAAGGGGCGGCCGGGGCTGCGGCCAAAGGCAGCCGGGAAGGGCCGCGCTCCGGGACCACGGCGCTTCCCAATTTGGGCTTGGAAAACAAGAAAAAGAGAAAGCAGGGAGGGGAGCAGAGGAGGGAGACGCCAAACCCGGAGCCAGCGGCTGCCCGCGGGGATGGACGGGGTGGCCACGGGCATCCTGCGGCTGATCCGGGGGGTGGAGGATGGAGGAGGAGTCATCATCCAGCCCCCGGGCATCCCGGCCCCGCTCCCGGGGCATCCCACCGGGCCGGGGGTGCGCCGGGTCGTGGGTCCCTGCCCGGCCAACACCCCAGTGCCCGGGGCTGGCAGGAGTGGGGCTGGGCCTCCCCAAACTGGTTTGGCCTCCTCAGGCTGGCGCCGCTGCCAAGAGGAGCAAAACATCCCTGGGCAGGTGCCGGTGCCCGCGGGTCTGGGGGTGCTGCCAGGGCGGCGGGGAGGGGGCACCAGAGGGGAGGGGGCACCGGCTGTGCCCGAGGGAGAGCAGGGCTGGGCAGTGATGTGGCCAAGGGGCTGCAAAGGGGGGTGGTTTGGGGGCTCAAGGGAGGATGATTTGGGGCTCAAAAGTGGGATGGTTTGGGGTTGCAAAGGGGGATGGTTTGGGGGTCCAAAGGGGGTGACTTGGGGCTCAAAAGTGGGATGGTTTGGGGGTTCAAAGTGAGGTGCCTTGGGTTTCCAAAGGGGAGTGGTTTGGGGGCTCCAAGGCCATGGCTTGGGTTTGCAAAGGAGAGTGGTTTTGGGGTCAAAGGGTGTTGATTTCAGGGCTCAAAGGGCATGGCTTGGGTGTGCAAGGAGGGTGGTTTGGGGGCTTAAAGGGAGGTGTTTGGGGGCTGAAAAGGGGGAAGGTTTAGTGTCACAAAAGCTGATGGTTCACAGATGCCCCCCAGCACCTCTGCCTGCCCCCCCTGCAGCCCCCCAGCTCCCCACTCACCTGGCAGAGGCCGGGACAGGCAAACTCCTCCTCCAGGGGCTGTGAGCTGTGGGGAGAGAATGGAGCCATCAGGGGTGTCCCTGGCCCTCCCCAGCCCCCTGCCCAGCCCCCAGCCCCACACACAGCTGGGTCCAGCCTTACCTGGCACTGTGGGGCAGGTGGATGGGGGATGCCAGGCTGGGGTTGGGGGCTCTCAGGGCACCTTGGCTCTCATCCTGCATCCGCAGCGTGTCCTGGGGAGGGGAAGGTGACACCAGCAGCTGCCACCAGCCCTGGGTGGGGGGACAGGGCGTGCTGGGGCTCACCTGGACACGTGTGGCCAACCTCTCCAGTGAGGCGTCCCCGTTGGTGTGGCTGGGAGGTGGCATCGGGGACCTGGGGACCAAGGGAGAGCAGGGAGGGTCTGGAATGTGCCCCTGGAGCGCTCAGCCCCTGCTCATGGCA